CATGAAGGGTGGTCAACACAGATCTCACTTCGGTGATGGCTGATAAGATCGTGTCTCCTCAGAATGCTTTCCTTGTCTTTCCTTCTCTTCTCCTCTCTCCACCCGTTACACAGCAATATACCCTAGCTCACAAGCTCGCAGTGGTTCGTCTTGCCAAGCTGGCAATCCTGACAGGTAGGTCAGCATCAGCCTTAGAGTGAGTTTGTTGGTGTGGCGTTGGTGGTCGTCATGAGTTCTGAAGAGTAAACGAACACTGACGGACCACATTGCTGATTGCTGTGCTCTGTGTGGTGCGCCTGCTTGCATCTTGCTTCCTCTCTGTGTTGTGTGTGATGGTGTGTTTGTGTCTTTGTACGGAAGTGACTATCTGTTCAAGGTGTTGCTGATCGGAGACAGCGGCGTGGGCAAGTCCTGTCTCTTCCAGAGGTTCACGGAAGATACATACACTGACAGGTACCACCAGATCACCACACATGCGCGCACACATAATGGATCTTGCCAGATCTGGTGGCGTGGCTGTTTACAGTTTCATACCGACTATTGGCCTTGAGGTCAGGTACAGGACTATCGACGTGGACAGCAAAATCGTCAAGCTCGAAATATGGGATACCGCGGGGCGGGAGCGAAACCGCTCCATCGCCGCATCCTACTACAGAAGCGCTCATGGTGAAGACACCCGCTAGTCAATATGCAGACAGACAGGGCGACAATATGGGCTCCATTTGCGCTATTACAAAGGCAGTCAGCCAGTCGCCATGCAGACTTACAGAGAGACAGAAGTGTGCGTGTGTGTTGTCGGTGCGTGCAGGCTTCATCATAGTGTATGACGTGACGAATAAGGAGAGTTTCCTGAACGTGAAGAAGTGGATTGCAGAAATCACCGATGACAACGCCAACAGATTGCTGGTAAGAGGCTGCCTCCCAACACACGCACAACCACACGTACGGTCTTTCTTGTGTGTATGTGTATGTGCGTGTAGGTTGGTAACAGATGTGACTTGGAGAGCAAGAAAATGGTGTCATACGACGACGGCAAGGAGCTTGCCGTCGAGCCTCATGAGCTGGTATTCGAGGCTGGGTTTGACAATGTTCTCGGTACGGGATGCAGCAGTCGATGGCGTACTTGGACAGATGGCTTCTGTTGAGCAGGTTCGGGTGCAATCGGTACCGTGCTCAAAGCCAAGTGGAAGGGCCGATCTGTGGCCGCCAAGATGCTGGTGAGCGATTGTGGGGAAATGTCACGCCGATGGGGCGAATGGTCACACGGGAACAATGTGTCGTCTGTGCAGGACAGGGCATCGATGGAGGACGCAAAAAAGGAGATAAACGTCCTTTCGCGCGTCCGTCATCCTCGCTTGATCACATTTTTCGGAGTTGCGCCCGGCAGCAAGGGGAAGCCTATTATCGTCACAGGCATATTCGAACATCTGCGTCCTACCCTTGATTTAATATTGAGCCTTCTGTCTCTCAGAGCTGTGCATTGGTGGCCAAGTGGACGAATATCTCGAGCGGCTGGCTAAAGACGGGCGTCTCGACGACAGCATCCGTCAGAAACTGGCCGTGCAGGTATATCGCTGTGTGGAGACTGGCTAGTCCGGCCACCTTTGTGTGTGTAGGTTTGCGAGGGCGTTGTTACCCTTCACGCACACAAGGTCATCCATCGCGACCTCAAGCCAGCCAACATACTCGTAAGCGCCACAGCCCTGACGATGTGAATAGCCCTCATCCAATTATGCTGTCTCCTCACTCAGGTCGACGCCAAAGGCAACGTTAAGATCACCGACTTCGGGCTCGCGAGATTCGTGCAGGGCACCAGTATAGCGAGCACCTTAGGTGAGTGCTTTACACATGAGTAGACATACTTATACAGACACGCACCCGCCGTATGTAGGTGCGGGCTCACCCGGCTATATGCCGCTCGAGACCTACGACCCAAGTAAGTTTCCACTGTTGCTATCGTCTCTCTCTGTAGCTGTCATTGTATGTTGCAGACGTCCGACCGAATTTTGCTACCGACATTTGGGCTCTGGGGTGTGTTGAGGTGGAGATTCTTGGCGGTGAGATGCAGCCTACCTACTCACTCATCCCCTCCCATTGCCTTGCTCTCTCTGCAGGAAAGAGGCCATTCGCTGCTGAGCTGGTGGATTGAAATCCCAGCAGGCTGCGGAGCAAGCCAAGAGACTGCCCGAGCAGGGAGTGAAGGTCTTTTGTGGCTCTTTTTCTAGCCGCACATTAGTCAGTTTATCTTTGTCTCATCCCATTTCCTCATTTCATTTCATTGACAGCCTGAGCTGCCCACTGGCAAGCTGTTCCCTCCCCAAGTGCGACAGATCATTCTGGTACTTGCAGAGGCCTCAAGAAGACCTCATCGCTTAGAGACATGGGCTGGTGTCTCAGATGTGCTTCGAGAAAGACCCCAACAAGCGACCGACAGCCAAGCAGGTTTTTGCTTGATGCGCACGCAGGAACAGACTCGGCCCATTACATGGCTGCGTCATTTGTTGTAGGTCCTCGCCGCCTTGACCGGCGCACCCAGACCAGTCACACCGAATCCTTCTCCTGTGGCCAATCAAGATGCGAGTACGAGGGGGCTTGCATATACACACGCAGCTAAGTAAGCTGCTTATTTGCTGCAGACACCATCACATTGCCGGGCAAGCCGACGTCGCCTTCGGTGCCCAACTCGCCTACCGTCGACATTCTATCGCCTGCAGAGCTTGGACATTCCCGGAACGCAGCAGCCACAACTACCCAGGCACAGTCTGGTGCTGGCGGGCTCTTCGCGCCCCCCACAGCACCACCCGCATCGCAGTCGACAATCACACCTGCCACCAGCCTATTCGCACCTGCCAAGGCATCATCCACAGGCGGCGGTCTGTTCGGTACGGCCGTGGCAGAGACTGCCTCTGCTGCTGCTGCTGCTGCTGCTGCAGGGGCAGGGGCGGGGTCAGGCAGTGGGTCTCTGTTGGGGAGAGGCGCGTCGACGGGCAGCCTGTTTGGCAGTGGCGCAGGTACTAGCAGCGGGGGGGCCTGCAAATGAAACATGAAACACATGTGCACACACAGGCCATGCTGTGTGTTGTGGACACACCTGCAGTAGCACCCGCCTACATACCCTTCCTGGGCACTGAAACCCTATTCGGCACCTACACTACCCTATCATCCATGACATCGACTTCTGCGCTGCCGTCGACCAGTGGCGGCGCGCTGTTTGCGGGAGCCACATTTGGATCAGTGAGTGGGCCACCGCTATCGTCTCTGTTTGGCGCTTCATCGACGGGAGCTGGGGGGCTGTCGAGTGTCAACAATGCTGGTGCTGCTACTACGGGCCTCTCTTCATTCGCGCATACGCTCCCGCAGACAGAAGACAGCATTTTCGGCAGCAGCAGTGGCACTGCGGCTGGCACCACTTCAGGAGGCAGTATTTTTGGAACAAGTGGTGAGTGATGGAGCACTCGCGTGTTTACGTGTACGTGTATCGATCAGGCGTGTCTTTCTTTGGTGGGGTGTCAGCATCAACAGGGGGCAGCCTGTTCGGTGGTGGAGCCTTCGGCCAGCGAACAACAAGCGGTGCTACTCAGAGCAGCATATTCAGCCACGTGGGAGTATGGCCCCGCACCTATTTGACTGTTTGACTGTTTGTCTCGTCTACTTTCCTTTCTTGTAGCCTCGGCAACCCCAGGCACCATCCGGTTCGGCAAATCCGTTCGGCCAGCCCCCACCAAGGGATGCATTCGGTGGAGAGCTAACTCAAGCACAGGTGGGCATGCGACCGGCTCGAGTTTTGGTCTCTGTCATTCAAGTACATGGTATGTGTTATGTGTCAGATGTCGAGCAGTGGCAGTGCTGGTCACACTTTGTTTGGGTTTCCGCCAGACGTGCTGATGCCCGCACCCAAACAAAGTACGTCTCAACACCCATGCAGGCCCTTGTCTCCGTGTGTGTGTGCAATTTGACTTCAGGGAGGAAGAAGGTTCGCGTCAAACGCCCACAGAAGGGGTGAAAGTGTGAAAGAAACGTCGTCCGCGGAAGGCTCGGTGACTTGCTAACTGACTCGTGTACATGCTAACTGTACATGTACACGCTGGCTTTGGATTATGCACTGAGCTCCTTGGCATGCATGAACAGGAGGGCGGAAACCAGTGGCTTAATGAGTTCAATGGGCGTGACGGACATGACTGACAACGCCTCATGCCTCAATGCAGTGATATATACACACGAAGGAAAATCCGATGTGCCTGTCTTTCGTCTACATGCTTACTCACGCAGCAGTTTCGTCTCCAATCCAACGTTGCAGAACACGAAAGCCATCACTTCACTCGCTTGACAACGGGATAGACAGGGCTGCCGGAGACTGGAGAGGTGTGAATGCTCAACCGGTACTTGCCCAACTTCTGCGTCTCAAATGTAGAAACAATCAACCGATTCTCGCCGGCCTGTGAGACGCAATTACAGTTGTGCTTTTCCGTCTGACGCCATTAAATGCTTTTGGGAGGGGGGGGAGCTGCGTGCAGATCTCTACAAGCTCGCACTTCTTCAAGTTGCTTCCAGGAAGAAGTGGGGCTCACTCCCTTTTGGTCAGATCTGCTGCGTGAATCTCACTCGGCAGCAGAGAGAGTGAGTGTCTTCCAACAGCCGGTCTTCCAAGAGCCGCGTGTTGGCGTCTGTGTGCTGGTCGTCATGAATCCTGAATAGTAGGCACATGCACACACGCGGGAGAGGGACAGAGAAGCAGATGAGCCTGCCTGCAACACAGTGGCAGATGGCCGCTGCGTGTCTGCTTAGAGGGGAGAGAGAGAGAGGCTGTCGTGCTGTGTGTGCTGGGCTGTGCCGGGCTGTGCTTGGCGCGGCTGCTTGCACTCTGACTGGTCCATTGCTCTCTCTCTATGCTGGAATGTTGTGTGTGTGCAGTGACTATCTGTTCAAGGTGTTGCTGATCGGAGACAGCGGCGTGGGCAAGTCCTGTCTCCTTCTGAGATTCGCTGACGATATCTACACCGACAGGTGCCGCCACATGGCCCACCTTCCATCCATCCACCCATCCAGCTTCTGCTGTGTGTGATGTGTGCAGTTGCATATCGACCATAGGAGTGGATTTCAAGATCAGGACAATCGAGCTGGACGGCAAGACCGTCAAGCTCCAGATATGGGACACCGCGGGGCAGGAGCGCTTCCGCACCATCACCTCATCCTACTACAGAGGCGCTCATGGTGAGCGGAGGGAGGACGCTCTCTCAACCATATGGACGCAAGGGTGCAGCATGATGGCCATCTGTGTGTGTGTGTGTGTGTGTGTGTGTGTGTAGGCATCATCATAGTGTACGACGTGACGGACAAGGAGAGTTTCCTTAACGTCAAGAACTGGATCGCAGAAAACGACAAATACGCCACAGAAAACGTCAACAAGCTCCTGGTACGATGCCTACACCACACACACACACACTCTCTGTGTGCCGTTCCACGTGTGTGTGGGTGTGTGCGCCTGTGTGCAGGTCGGCAACAAGTGTGATTTGGCGAGCAAAAAGGTGGTGTCTTACGACGAGGGAAAGGAGCTCGCCGACCAGCTCGGCATTTCATTCCTCGAAACATCCGCGAAAAAGTCACACAACGTTGAGCAGGTAAGGACGCTCACAACGGTTTCTGGAACACACAACGTTGACACCGGTCCACCCCACCCATACTGTGTATGTCTTGGTGTGTGCTGTCAGGCGTTTTCCATCGTGGCAGGCGAGATCAAGTTGAGGATGCAGGCGACCGGTGCACAGCAGCCACGGCCGGCAGCGGATCAGCGCCTTCTGCCCGAGCCCAGCCATGACACGAGTGAACAGGATGTTGATTTGACGGCTCCCCCCATTTTCGATGTGATCAAGCCTCATGAGCTGGAATTCGAGGCTGGGTTCGACAATGTCCTCGGTATGGGATGCAGCAGTCGATGGCGTACTTGGACAGATGGCTTCCTTTATGTCTCTGGCTGAACAGGCTCGGGGGCAATCGGTACTGTGCTCAAGGCCAAGTGGAAGGGCCGAGCTGTAGCCGCTAAGAGACTAGTGAGCGATTATCGGGGACCGTCACGCCGATCGAGCGAAGCCTGACATGGGCACAATGTGTCGCCTGCTCAGGACAAGGCATCGATCGAGGACGCAAAGAAGGAGATACACGTCCTTTCGCGCGTTCGGCATCCTCGCTTGATCACATTCTTCGGGATTGTGCCCGGGAGTGGGACGAAGGCGATTATTGTCATAGGTACATTACGAGCACCTGTGTCTTACCCGATTTGGTGAGCCTTCTGTCTCTCAGAGTACTGCATCGGTGGCCAAGTGGACGAATATCTGGAACGGCTGGCTAAAGACGGGCGTTTAGACGACAGCATCCGCCAGAAACTGGCCGTGCAGGTATATCGCTGTGTCTGAGGCTTGCTAGGCAAAGTGCCTTTGTGTGTGTAGGTTTGCGAGGGTGTTGTTGCCCTCCACGCACACCAAATCGTCCATCGCGACCTCAAAGCAGCCAACATACTCGTCAGCCACGCCACAGGCCTGACAATGTGAATAGCTCTCATCCAATTGTGCTGTCTCCTCACTCAGGTCGACGCCAAAGGAAACATCAAGATCACCGACTTCGGGCTCGCGAGATTCGTGCAGGGCACCAGTATAGCAAGCACCTTAGGTGAGGGCTTTTCCACATGAATAGACATACTTATACAGACACTCACCCATCACACGTAGGTGCGGGCTCACCCGGCTACATGCCGCTCGAGACCTACGACCCAAGTGAGTTTCCACTGTTGCTATCGTCTCTCTCTGTAGCTGTCATTGTATGTTGCAGACGTCCGACCGAATTTTGCTACCGACATTTGGGCTCTGGGGTGTGTTGAGGTGGAGATTCTTGGCGGTGAGATGCAGCCTACCTACTGACCTCCTCCCATTGCCTTGCTCTCTCTGCAGGAAAGAGGCCATTCGCTGCTGAGCTGAGTGGATTGAATTCACAGCAAGCTGCGGAGCAAGCCAAGAGACTGCTCGAGCAGGGAGTGAAGGTCTTTTGTGGCTCTTTTTCTAGCCGCACATTAGTCACTTTATTCGTGTCTCATTCCATTCCATTCCATTGGCAGCCTGAGGTGCCCACGGGCAAGCTGTTCCCTCCGCACGTGCGGCAGGTCCTTCAGGTGCGTCTGACAAAGAGAGCAACAGCTTATTCTGGGAAAGAGAGCGTGTGTGGCGGCTTGCAGCGGTGCTTTGAGAAAGATCGAAGCAAACGACCGACGGCGAAAGAGGTACTATTCTCTTGTCTCTTGTAGGTGTATCTGTCATCTCTGTCTCTTGTAGGTGCTGGATGCGCTGACGGCACCACCCAGACCTGTGACGCCAAATCCCCGGCCGACGGGCGGCAACGAGTCGAGTAAGGCTGTAACAATACCCATGTCTCAGCTGTGTGTATTAGCGATGGATCGCTCGAATTGGTTTTATGAGTCAGACACCATTACACTTCCGGGGAAACCGACACCGAAAACGACACCGAATTCAGCCTCGCCTTCAGCTGCCCCAGCCAGCGGTGGGGGCTTCCTCATTCGCTTCACCGACGGGCAGGGACGGGAGCGCATCGTGTCCATATCTGCGGGAGGTGAGGGAGAGGGTAGGAAATATAAATATTTGCTGTGTCTCCTTGTGAATGAGCAGAACTGGGGAGCGATGACGACGACGATGACGACACTAAGTGATATTGTGGAAATGTGCAAACTAGCTTTACTGGCTGCTCTGCCAGTTGTTCTGCTTTGTGTCGGTGTGGTCGGTGTGTCGGTGTGGTCGCATTAACTCAGACACTCTGTCCGTGTGCTGTCTGAGTGGGGAGAAGATGGTTGGGGGGACAACAAGATGAGTACATGGGAGCTATGCCGTCTTTCCAGGCCATAGGTCTATGCGCATGTGCACGCAGTCACTTAAACTTGATCACATACATCAGCCCATACAGCCCCGCAGAAACGTACCGTTTATACGCATGGCAGCTAAACGTCTAGTCACGACGTCTATATAAGTGTTGTCTGTCACGACGTTCTGTCTGTCACTGAGACACCTCACTGCAGCCCAGACAGGTGTCTGAGTGTGTGCTGTCTCTAGTCCGAATGTTGCTTGGGCTGGGTGTGCGAGGACACATCCAGGCTTGACACCGAGGCAAGCACACCGCCGCTGCTCCATTGAATGCGCTTTTAGACATGACTGAGCCACCAGTCTTGCACCAAATGCTACCCAGGCTCGGGCCCTGGTCATACTGCCTGTGTGTCGTTGAGGGAGGCCCCTGTGCTAGGAGACTTGCTGTCTCGAGACGTGTGTGCGTGTGTGTGTGTGTGCGAGTGTGCGGGGCTGG